TTTAAATATCTCATTAAATGCTCGATTGTAGTTCTTCTTCTTACAGCTACAACCCCTATGTTCTGCAGAACTGAAGACAGATTCCCTGATATTATTCCTTCCATTAAGTGGCACGTGATAGTCCGCAGGCCTAATGCTACAGGCACTAAGGTACAGACAGATGCACACCAAGGCAAAACACTGCAGAAGCAGGAGGTACTGTATGTATTCAAGTTCCTAAGGAACCATGTGAGATTGCCTGCAAGATAACATCTTGTTATCATCCCCCCCCCCCCCCCCCCCCAACAAGAATTTTAAGACCAAAAACAGACATTTCACATCCACTAGCACCAGCTCCAAGTGACAAATAACACTACAGATAAGACCCATGCTGCAACACTCCCAGGACACTAAAAACCTCAAACCCAACAGGTCCCCAAAGGGGTACAAACATTAAGTACAACAATGCATGCATCTGATGCAATGTTGTTCAGGAAGCATTTTTACTGCTTTTGATAGACTCAGGTTTATAATAAACATCTGGTAGAGGAAAGACCAATTTCACTTCTCTCTAGAGGGCCACCCTATAATTTTGGATTCAATCTCTCTCTGCATTTCATGTGCAGACAGGATTCCACATTGTATTAAAAAGCAGCAGTGGATGTGTAACAGACTCAGCTAAATCTGATCTGTTAACTATGATGTCTGTTAACAGATAACTAGCCTACAAGCATGACAGGTTCATAATACTGAAACAAAACAGGAAATTCTGACAAACACATTCCAGACTGCCACAGTTTAATTATTATATAAAATGTAACACTTCAGCTTACATTTAATGCCCAGTGACTCTCCAGCTACCTGGTGAAGCCTTGGTATAAACATGTCTTGAGGTCACTACTGGTGAGCAATGCAACAATCCCAAATTACACTTAGAAATCTCAATGCTGTTTCACAACATCCTAAACTTAATACAATCCAGTTAGGGAGTTCATTTTCTTTAGACCACAATACTTTTTAGGGAATCCTTCAAGTCTTGCAGGCATAGTTTATTATCATTATATTAAAGCTAAACATTTGGTCTTTGGGAAAAAAATAAATAAATAAACCTTCCTGTTAGCAGTCCTGCAACCACGAGGCATGGGGATAGAGGTTGAGTAAGCAGCTTAAGGGCATGCCCTCCTATCCCAGCTACAGCAAGGACAGTGCTGCTGCTAATCCCTACACTTGCAAGAGCTTCTCCCTAAAAAAATCATTTTGTGTTAAGATCGTGGCATATTTAAGTGAATAGCAGACGAATCCCTAATAACACACATAATACACACACAGCACACATTCAGCGCTGTTTGTGGCATTGTTTGCCAAGTACCAGTTCAGAGGATTTTCTATAATTCTCTCCAGCCTGTAGAGCAAAACCTGCTATCTCCATGCTTGCAGTAATGGCTTTAAAGCCACAAGTCCACCCCTAAAATGAAAACCAGCTGGATTCAGACCCTGAAGCTATAACCTTGCTGTGAAGTTCAAGAAACAAATCTTAAAATAGAATTCTAGAATGGCCTGGGTTGAAAAGGACCACAATGCTCATCTGGTTCCAACCCCGTGCTATGCGCAGGGTCGCCAACCAGCAGACCAGGCTGCCCAGAGCCACATCCAGCCTGGCCTTGAATGCCTCCAGGGGTGGGGCATCCACAGCCTCCTTGGGCAACCTGTTCCAGTGCCTCACCACCCTCTGGGTGAAAATAATTCCATTGCTTTTGGTTACAGTTTTCCTACACAGATTGCTGCCCACATTTCCACACTGATTAAAAAAAAAAAAAAAAAGGCAGAAAGACAACAAGGAAAAAAAAAAAAGCAAGCCCACACAAAGGCATAGCACATGGCCTTTCCTTAATACACCACCACACAGACTGACTCAGAATCAGCAGGTGAAACCCACAGGGGCAGGCACAGGACTGCATTTCCTTGCTAATCAACAGCAGGTGCCATGGCAAATCCCGCACAGTCCTTTCACATCTCTCAGTCAGTTCATGAAAAGGCGAGAATTAAGAACTCAGCCCAATAATCATTTGCTAGAGTGGAAAAAGCTGGTCTTCTCTCCTGCTCACTCCCAGTGCAGGTTTTCCTTCTTCTCCCCCAGGCAGGGAGATGTTTCCATCCACTGTCATCTCATGCATCATGGGCTTCACTGTGAGATTTCCACCCTGACCACCTCAGCTGCTGCACTGCTCGTGTTCATTTTCCTGCTGCTCCCCACTTCCCAACCAGTCCCCAGCACAACCACCTCAGGTTGAAAACAGGTGGCTCTACCACCTAAGCACCATCTCCCCTCTCCATCTCTACCTGGTGTATTTTTCCTCGTTTTTCTCTTCTCACATTTCCCCCACTGACCTTTCTTATTCTTTTCTTAGTTAAGAAGACACATTTCAAGGCACAGAATCTGCCTAGTGAACACAAGTAGAGTCAGGAGGCAAAATTAATAGCTTTATTCTGGAAATAACACTGCTACAAAAAAACTCCCTGAGCACTCAGCCCCTCAGGCTACATTTCCTAGTAATTTTTCCTACAGTAGCTGTCAAAAAGGCTGCTCTGTGCTTTACAGGCAGTCTGTTCTGTTGTACAGAGAGACCCCAACAGTAAAATGGCTTTTAAGTCTCAAGATCCCACAGCAGGAAAGGGTTGGTAACAAACAGCAGATGACTGCTAACTGAGCAGCCTGGGTTTCAGCACAAGGATCTGTGCTTGTTTTTTCTTGGGCTGATTTTGACTCTTCCAAGCTCAAGGCAAAGCAATACCACTTGGCCTTGGAGCAGCATCACCTGATGAGATACCTAGTTATCTTTTGTCTACAATGCAGACGGGTTTGGTTATACCCATCCAGCACTGTGGAGATTGCTACCTTTTTCACTCTTATCTAGCAAAAGTAGCAGATCTGAAACTATAAAAAACAGCATATTTTACAATTGAGCCTTTCCTCATCTGCCTTCACTCACAGGTGCTGCAGCACAGTGAATTGAGATAACCATTCATCAGATGCTTCATTAGCACAGCCCCACAGCCCTCCTGGATAATACTTGTTTGGCTCTTACTGCTGGACTGACTCCCAAACACTCCTTTGCTAGACGTTATGCTACTAATGAACCTCTTCCAAATTTCTCTTGCCTCTGTTCTTCACTCTCCCCCTGCACAGCAAGTTGCTTTGCAAAATAATAATTCCTTACATGCAGAAAGCTGCTGCCAGCTTATTAAAAAAGAAAAAAACACTGAAGAGCATCACCTTCATCATAGCCCCCACACCTTTCCTGTGCGTTTTATATGCCATTTATTTCTAAGACAAATGTGCCTGCAGTCCCTGGCTGAGGCCAGAGATGAACACGTGCCTTTGGGCAGGTTGGCCCCAATACAAAGGAATACTAACTACATAAGGCAGAAGATGAGAGGAGAAGAGAGAGATGGGAAGTCAGCAGCAAAGCCAGGGAGAAAACCTGTCACCATCTATGTGTCACTAACCTCTTTGCAGCCTCATTCCAAACCAAAAAAATTCCCATAGCACAGTTCATTCCTTCTCCCTCAAATTCATTTCTCCCTTTGAGGATAGATGCCTCTCTTCTGTATAACTACTTCCAGGTCATTAGCTGGCAGAAGGTCTTAAAACTCTTTTTATCCTCATAGCAGCCAAAGTAGCGTTAACAGCAGGCTGACATTGTTGCTGAATGCAGGTAGCACACCCAGATTGATTCTGGTGTGGCTATGGGAAAGCCCACCAGAAACTGTACAACAGAACAGGAGGAATGGGGCACAGGCAAGGGAGCTGTGCTCAGAAATAGCAGGCAGGCCCTAGGACTAGTTCTGGAAGTCATTAGCACAGTACCAAAGCAAACTTCATCAGATTTTATTTCACCACTTAACCCTTATGAGGGAAGAGGAAGTTATACACAAAATGGGAGTCAATCCCCTTCCATGTTCCAGCACCAACACAAGGGTTTTTCGAAGAACTTATGCCTATTTCATTCTTGCCTCATCATACAATGCATCCCATTTCCTCAGTATGAGAAGAAAACCATCAGTTAGCAGTAGGAAATGCACCAAAGGGATAATAAGATTATAGCATTGACAAGGTCTCAGTGGCACTGACCACAGCTGCACAGACCACTATGTGTCCCTGATGGCCAGACCTGCTGCTCACAGGATCCAGTCCTACCAGTCCACGTTTGAAAACGTTCCTACCTCTGTAGTTATTTCTATGAAAAATCAAAATTGAGCCAACCACAATCCATAAGGGATCTAAAATATTTAATCCTAATTTTGAGGAAAAAATCCAACTACCCACCATCCAGGGAACAATTTAAAACTATATACAGGATCTAGATCTTTGTTTCCTGTTTCTGAGGTTTAGCTAGCCTGCTGCTTCCACTCACATCTACTAAGTTATAAGTGTAGAAAAACTAGGATGGGAAAATAAAGTAACAAAAAAAAATAAGCAAGTAATTTCGCTGAGCTATGTTTCAGAATCTAGTTTTATTAGCATCTAGTAACCAGCTACCCATGCCATCAACCCATACAGCTAACAGTATCTTATACCAAAACACAGTTCTGCTCAACATAACTACAAATCTATTTGTACCAGTTAACTCAAGTATCATATCTGCTATGCTGGTCTTATTCATCAGTAAGACAGTTCTCAGAATAGGAAAGGACAGTAACTCTGACCACTCCTACATACACCTACTTCAATAGCAATAGGTTGTTCTTCACAGAAACACAGATAGGCATTCCATATCATATACATCTATGCTTACACAATGGACAGCAAGCCCAATATTTTACTTGAGGATGTTTTGAGAGTGGTTTAACCCACTCTGAGTTACTGAGTTACACAAGATACCCATAGTACCAACCCGTTCTCCAACTCATCTCCAATACAAAAAGAAGTATACTTCTAACATTATCTCCATGAACAACATGGCATTTTATATTCTCTATATATTTTTATTATCATATACAGAAAGAAGAGCTGAACTCACCCAACTGGTAACGTGGATCTCTGGCCGCACAGCACTCCTCCCAAGCAGCCCAAGCGATGCTCTCCCTTCAGTGGCTGGCCCTCAAATGAGCCCTGGGGGGCCCTACTGCGAGTCATAGCATAGAATCATAGAGTCATAGAGCCCAGACCTTCTGGTCACCTGGGGAGCACAGGTGCAAGCAATCTGCCTGAGCTCCCTGGGCAGGCCTGAGCCCTTCACCAGGTGCTCAATCACCAGTTCAAGCCATCACCTTACAGTTCCCCTACAGATAGCAGGTCCTGTAATACAACCAGCTGAGCATACTTTCTTAATATTATTTGATACATAATCCATTCATAAGTAAATTAAAAAAAATAATAACTGAAATTTACCCACCGCTTTGCATCACGTTCATGTGAATTAATTATTCTCTTACAAAGTTTTCTAAGTCTTCATAAATGGGCAGTACCCACCCCTGAATTAATCACTCTTTAGGCTCAGACTGCAGCCAACAGTACTTCATCGTGCTAAGACACCACATACATTCTAATGATTTTTCACACTTCTTTACAGAACACAAAGGATGCCATCCAAGAGTAAACGCAGAAATTAACCTACCCAGAAGAGCAAAGCAAGCCTGGTACGCAGAAACACCATTTTAAAAATCCCAGAAATTAATTAAAAGGTGAAGAAAATAAGCAGCAATACCTAGAAATACCTAGATTTTTCTCTTTCTCCTGAAAGCTGAGCAGCATAACTATTTGATACAGATGGAATAACTACATCACTTTTCCCCTGAGAAACAACTACAACCTCCAGGAACTCTTCAGTAAAGAAGGTTTGGTTTGATAAGTTTTAATGTTAATGTATCAGATATTCATTAGGGAAGCAAGCAGCAGCAGTATAACTTGGCTTCTGTCCTAACACCAGCTACAGTACTTTTTATTTGGTCTGAGCTGGAGAACAGCCCAGGAACACCATGAAGACATCTCCTGCTTACAGTATTCCATAAGACAGAACGCCAAGTCCTTCAGCCAATTATGCTACTTCCTTTCAACGTGTGCTCTCCTGAGTTAAGACACTTCATTAAAGCATCCATCTGACAGAGGATCTGGTTTGAGTTTAATAAAGGCACGCAACTGGCCCAGAGCTTTCAGACAAGGAGTATCTCTTTAGAAAGGGGTTCTTTGAAAGTGTTTGAAGCACTTTTGAAGCTTTCACATCTGAGTTTCAGTAAGCAGCTCCAACACGAGTCACGTTTGCCAGATTATAAGCCTAAAATCAACTTCATTTTTATAGATTAATGAATGAGAACAGCCATATATAATGTACTGAAATGACAAAATGCATCATTAGTGAGAGTCAGTAACCCAACATGGCCATTCACCAAGGACACCAACAAAAGAGAAAATGCAATTCTGAAGGACAACGTATTTGAGCATGTTAAACCTATGAAACATGCAGCAAGGAGAGCATATCTGTGCACCTCAGGCCAGCAGCAAATAAAGCCTTTATGGTTGGACACAGAAACTAGCAAAGCACTACTGACATCTAGTGCTACACTGCTGTTTGTTAGCATTGAACTGATCTCTGCAAATGCAGCTCTTTCAATTTCAGCCCCCGAGGGTCAAAACTAGATCTGAGATAATGCTAGAAGGAGGTTTTAAGATATTTGAGAACCAAAGGCAGGGCCTTCCCAGTTGTCACACCCTGCGTAGGAGTTACAGCACTCACTTTGAGAGCATTTTTGCATCTCTAGCATCCTTGCTAGCCTTGATATTGCCCTGCTACTGCTTTCTATCTCATGGAGTACAGCCAGTAGCCAGTTACAAGCACACATTAGTGTTCTTTATCCTGACGCCAAGGTAGCCATTCCCCAAAACAACTGGACAAAATCTAGAAAACCTGATCACTTTGGAATGAATTCAGATCAGATCTGGCTCCTCCACACCAAAAAGTTTTGTTCCATTGAGATTTTGGACAAGTGATCATTCCTACAGGTGTACTGCTTGGCCCACAGTGACTCATGGGAGACACTACTGTTCCTCCTTCAGTGAAGGAGGAACATTATGATGTCAGCATGCTTCACATCATAAAAGTGAGATCAGAATGCTGTCTGGGAGCTTCTTTTCCATAAAAATTACCACATATGTCATAACAGTGCACGTGTCAGAGTGGCACCAGCTCAATTGTATGTGACTGAAAGCAAAAGACAAGGACAAAGCGGCCCATGGGGAAGCAGGAGGAGGTATCAGGACTGCAGACACAGCAGCCATTCACGGAGGGAAGGGAAGGGAAGGGAAGGGAAGGGAAGGGAAGGGAAGGGAAGGGAAGGGA